CTGAAGCTTTCCACTAGTGCACTGGGTTTGTGCCCTGCAAACCCCTCTCCTCCCACTGGAGGTGAAAAGCCACTGTCTGTATTCTGTCTGGGCCGCCTGCCAAGAGCTACAGAGTTATGTGAGGATGGTTGCTGCATGTGTTGGGCTTAGAAGTGCCTAGGAGAGGCTCAATTGTGAAACCAAGCAGTCTGCATCTAATGCCAGCCCTGGGGCCTCCCATTGAAGGGAATGGGGCATGAGGAGGCCAGCTGCTGCTTGTTTGAAAGATTTTAGGAATGTCTGAAGCCTGAGCTAGGACACACAATTCATATGGGAAAGCTGCTGCACACAGAGGGAGTGAGTCTGAGTAAGTCTGTGTGCTTGCCCTTTAAGAGGAACTGCCTGGGACTCCAGCAGTGTCTGTGTCACTCAACCATAATCCCTGCTGGTTTTTATAGCCCAAAGTTTTGGGGACTTCTCTTCCAAGCACTGGAACCCTGTGCTGAGGGGTTTTGTGAGTGGGTGTGACCCCTGGTTCCCCATAGCCCACCTCCACAGTTTAGATATCCCTTTTAATTAAATAAATGTGGGTGTTGGACCAGCCCATTCTGCACCTCTGCTCTTCCTACTAGTCTCAATATACCTTTACTTCTTTGGTTGTAGGACTTTTATTCAGCAGATTTCAGGTAGTTCTGAATAATGGGTATTCTATATTTTAGTTGTAATTTTGGTGTGTTTGTGGTATTGGTGAGTATTGGTGTTTACCTACATTGCATCTTGGTCCTCCCCGACATCATTAATTTAGATGGATGTTAGAGGAAAAGTTAAAAACATACACACACACACACTATTTGTTCAAATTGGAGGTAATATGTAGAAGTGCTTAGAAGACTATTCAGGACATTTTCTTGCAGATTGTTGAAAATGCTTTCCATGAGCATATTCTTTGGCCCTCTTTGAGAGAAGTGTGAGGTTGGGTGTGAAAGGGTTGGGTGTCTTAAATTGATTTATGGCCCTACCATTTAGTAAACATAACAGATCTGCATATTATGTGTAATATCTACCAAATCTTTAAAAAATTGTACCTTGTTCTCTTATTTTTTTTTAAGTTCAAGTGATCAAATATATATGAGCACTTTTTTAATGTGAATGCAATTCTCTATGTTTTTGCAGATGATACAATGCTGGTAAGAAACTGATAGCTTATCATCTAGTTCATAAATGTAATTAGTCAAATGTATAAATGATAATATAACAAGTAACAAAAGACACAATGTATTATTTATTATAGTATAATATGTTTTTCTATAATCTAGGATAGATTAACACCCAGTAGTAAACAACTCCACAATCTCAGTGGTTTAGCAGAACAAAATGCTTATTTCTCACTCATAAGAAGTGTGCTATGGGCCTGGAACTTTCTCCAGAACAACAGTCCTCCTTGTGTCTTCTGATTATTCTGGGCTGCATTGATGAGGAGGACCTTCTATATGGACATGTTTCCATGATGGCTACTGGAAGGGAATTGTGGATGGAGAGCAAAAGTAGGCTGGATCATTGACTACTGGCAATTTAATGCTCCTACTCAAACTGTTACTCAAGTCAGTTCTATTTTATACAGGACAGGGTCTGGGCCCAAAGTAGACCAGCCAGTAATGTGTGGGTTCTTGAATTCATGCAGGAAAGATTTCACAACATGGGTCCCGGTGATTTTGAGAGTATGTTTATTAAGGTTTGAGACAGTGAAACAAGGAGAGGCCCAGAAGAAGCCTAGGAGAGCCTAGACTGGGCTGTTTTAGCTCACTGGAAAGTCACATAAAAGGCAGCTTTGGAGACAGGATGAGGTTAAACCCTGGACAAGCTGCCACTGCCCATTCCTTCCCTTGTTGCAAGTCTTGTGAGGTCCCTTAGACAAAAAGAACAGAGATACAAAATGTGGGTATTCTCCAGTGAGAGCAAGCTATGTATCCTTTTATCTTGAGGCTTTTTATCTTTCTTTGGCTAGCCAAAATCCTAGGGGAGGATCTTAACAGAATATTTAGTAGCCTTTCAGATATTTCCTTCAATATGTTGCTTCATCAAAATGTGCATATAGAGGGGTCAGGGGCCATTTTCTGGTTAGTTTTATTTTCAAAGAATGTCATAAAAAAACTTCAACAAAGTTGGCATCAGGACAGAGACCCACCTGGCCCCATAAAATGGTATGGAACAACAGTCGCCACAGACCACTGGTGATCTACAGACCACTGGTGATCCGTGAGCTCTGAAAGGTTGGTGACCGCTGGTCTGGAATATATACACCATTTGCTCCTAAGTGTATTTGTTTAGGGAAGATAAAACCCTGTGATTCATTAGCTGGCTATAAATTGCTCAGCTTGTTTGGCCTTGTTTAATTATTTTATCTGTTTCCCTTATTCCACGTGTCCAGGAATTTCCCCAACTTCTTACTCTCCTGCCACATGCTCACATTTCACTGTCAAAACAAGTCTAGTGACTGTGCCTAACTTCCAGAGGGCAGGGAAGAGCTATCTTCCCATGTATCAGGAGGCAGAGAGGATCAGATGTTTGTAGATAGTAATAATATTCATTAATGCATTGTAGGAGAAACATGGCAAAAACCTACAAAGAAAGGGCAAAGGGCATTCCAGAGCAGGAAGCAATAGCACTTAGGATGTCATGTAATAAAAGAAATGTCGTGTGTGTGTGTATGTGTGTGTGTGTGTGTATGTGTTTTGTCAATAAGTGAAAGCTGTTTATTGCTCTCCTTTCTTTTACCAGTAGGCAATGGCCTGCTGGGACTCCACATTTGGTCCTCGCTGCAAAGCTGGTTGATTTGGTAGATAAAACCTACAAGACTTTCATGCTTTTCTCAGGTCCTTGTTTTTGTTTCCTTGTTTGTTTTTAGATCTCAGATATGTGGCCTAGAGAAATGGGTCTGTCTGTGAGAGTTTCTGGTGGGGTTCTAGAAGGTTTCAGTCCACATTCCAAGAACGTTTCACCACTTTTTGAAGACATGGGCCTGTGGTGGAGTGGCTAAACCAAATGACTAAAACTAAGCAATGAATGTCTCCATCTTAGAGTTTAGATGCTTATTTACAAGAGAGCTATCAGGTGCACCCATAAATTCGGCATAGGAATTAAGGCAGTTGATTATAGTGATCTTCCATAAATGGGGTAAAAAAAATATTCCCTGGGTTTTATAGACACTGAGACTAACATTGAACTAAAGAGCGAGAGAGCAAGAGCGAGAGCGAGCGAGCGAGCGAGAGAGAGAGAGAGAGAGAGAGAGAGAGAGAGAGAGAAACCTGGGTTTTCATTTTTCCTATAAGTACTTTGGAAAAAGTTGGGAATTTTTAGTATCTTTCCCGTTTATTTTGTTTACCTCTTACCTAATTCTTAATTATAATTCAGTAAGAGTAAAAAGAGAAGAGTCCGATTTGCTAAAATGAGTAAAAAATACTTCTTTAAAATTAGAATGACCAAAGTATCCCTAAAATTTTCTTGAGGTCCTTGGAAATACATATCACTACATATTAAAGGGTGAGAAGTCTCTACACTAGCTCTGAACTGAGTACCTATAATGACTAACATATGATTTTTCCTTATTTTAAGAAGCTGCCTGCATTAAGAGCTAGGAAGATTCATATTTCTTATACAGTGTTATATTTTTTTATGAGAAATTAGAATTACAATATATTTTAAAATACATTTTATTGATTTTTTTTACAGAGAGGAAGAAAGAGGGATAGAGAGTTAGAAACATCGATGAGAGAGAACCATCAATCAGCTGCCTCTTGCAAACCCTCCCCCCCCCCCCTACTGAGGATGTGCCCGCAACCAAGGCACATGCCCTTGACCGGAATCGAACCCGGGACCCTTCAGTCTGCAGGCCGAAGCTCTATCCACTGAGCCAAACCGGTTTCGGCTAGAATTACAATATTTTATTTTGATATGATTTAAAACACGAGCATTTTTTCACATTAGGAAATAAGATTCAGAAATTATGCAATCTTTAAAAGGGATTGAAACCATGCAAGTACTATTAATGAAAAAAAAAAAAAAAAATCCCAGCGCCCCATTGAGAGTGGCCCTCTTTCCAGGGGGCAGTAGAAATGCCCAGAAGAGGGCAGAGATGAGAGAGGCCGCGTTGGTGCGGGGAGCGCTGGGCGCAGGACTGGCTGCCCCAGGGGCGGGCTGGAGGGGGCGGGCTGGGACGGGGGCCAGAGGAAGAGGCGGAGGGGCGACTTCACCATTATGCTTTCGTAGGACGGGAGGCGGGGTGGCAACCGCGCGAAAGAAGCAGCCTGGAAGGAAGGAAGGAGCGAGGGAGGGACGCGAGCCGACTTGGAGGAGGAGCAGCAGCGAGTTGGGCCGCGGCGACGACCCGAGGAGGAGCGATCCCCGCGAGGCCACGTTTTGTTTTGGTTTATTTTCCATCCGAGTAGTTCTCGCAGGCCCTTTCGGAAGACCGATCGCGTGGAAGCCCGGCCGCCCTGACCTTCCAGGTGACAGCCGGTCACCCCCGCAGGAGTCAGCTCCGCCCCAGACACCCGCTCCCGCCCCCAGCCCGGTCCCGCCCGCCCAGCCCTCCCCAGCCGGCCCGGGGCGCGCGGCGGCCGCAGCGGCTCTGCGGCGCGGGAGGAGCGGCCACCGGCGGCGGCGGGGGATCCTTGGCTTCGTCCTCCGACGGAGCCGAGCGGCCGGCGGAGGAAGGGGCGAGACCGATCCGAGGCCCGAGCCGGAGAAGGGGGCATGCCGATCTAACCCCCCCTCTCCTACCCGTCCAGCGGCCCGGAGCTCCCCAGGTGCCCGCCGCAAGAACCGCGGAGCTGCGCCCGGGACAGTGCAGCCTGGGGCCGGGCCGCTGAGCGCCCACGTCTGGGTCGCCCCGAGGCGCGCGCGGGGGTCCCGGCCAGGCAGTTGGCACAGTTTCGGCAGCGCCTTTCCGTGTTGGGAGTTTTGGGGCGCACGGCGCGCCTCTCTCTGCCGCCTCGGAGCCCGGGCGAGGCGAGGCGCGAGTCATGGAGCCCCCCAGCTGCATTCAGGACGAGCCGTTCCCGCACCCCTTGGAGCCCGAGCCGAGCGCCCCGGCGCCGCCGGGCCCTGGGAAGCCGGGCGACAAGCTGTTCCGGCTGTGGTACGTGGGGGGGTCGTGCCTGGACCGCAGGACCACGCTGCCCATGCTGCCCTGGCTCATGGCCGAGATCCGTCGGCGCAGCCAGAAGCCCGAGGCGGGCGGCTGCGGGGCGCCCGCACCCCGCGAGGTGCTCCTGGTGCTCAGCGCGCCCTTCCTCCGCTGCGTCCCCGCGCCCGGAGCCGGGGCGGAAGGCGGCCCGGGCCCCGCGGCCCCGCAGCCCAGCTCGGCGGTGTTCATCTTCGAGCACAAGGCGCAGCACATCTCGCGCTTCATCCACAACAGCCACGACCTCACCTACTTTGCCTACCTGATCAAGGCGCAGCCCGAGGACCCCGAGTCGCAGATGGCCTGCCACGTCTTCCGCGCCACGGACCCCAACCAGGCAAGGCGGCGGCGGCGGCTGCTCCGGGGCGCGGGGGAGGGTCCGGCGCCCGCGGGGAGAGCGGGTCCCTCTTAAAACACACACATGCACACACGCAAGGCACTGGCCAGGCATGTCGTTTATCTGCAGTCACACTCCGGGCACCGCGATCCGCCCTGGCGGCGCTGGCTCCCCGCTTTGGGGATCCGTCTGCCGGTGCGCGCTCTGCGCCTGGCGCTTTGGAACGCCAGCTGGCCGCGCTCCTTCCTCGGACCCTGAGTCTGGAAACCAGCATTCTGGGGCGGGTTGTGGGGTATGGAGTGGTGGGGTCCGACGGAGCACTGAAGCAGGCGAAAGGGAGGGAGGCAGAGAGGACCCAGGACGGAGGAGGAAGAGCAGGCGTGCGCCGGGAGGTTGCGGGGAGCTGCGCGCGTCCAGGGAGGATCGCGGTGCCGGAGTGTGACTGCGGATAAACTACATGCCTGGCCAGTGCCTTGCGTGTGTGCATGTGTGTGTTTGAGAGGGACCTGCAGGGGAGGGCTGGGTTTCTGGAGGCCCCGCACTCGCCCTTGGTCTTGGTGGAGTTCTGCTCCTTGACCCATTTGGATGGTCGCCTCCTGGTCACAGAAGCACCTGCGGGTCTCGGTCTGGGAGGCTCTGTAGGGAAAATTACTAGATACTGTCAGATTCTTGGCCCCGGACCAATCTGCGTTTAGATGTGGAGTGGAAAGAGTTTTGTTAAACATGTTTTTATGCGCTAATTGGAGGCAGGATCAATGCCTACTTGGGTGGTTTAAAAAAAAAATCAGTGTCTCTGAAGAGATCAAATCTGTTTTCTAAGATAATTTCTCCAGAGTTTACTATCTCGAGGTGCCTGTTGCCAAATAGTGTTTTTTCACTTCCTTAAAAACTAGCGCGGGTTTTTTTTTTTTTTTTAATCTCCTGGCGAGAGTAATCTAAACAAAACTTTACCATAGTGATTGTGTCTTTGAGAACAGGCTTTAAAAATGTGTGAAGAGTTTTTACCACATCAAAAGCTCCGGAAACGCTATTCTGGAGGTAGTTATTTAATGTTTGCATAGTACTTTAGGTCCTTTGGAAAAAACAGCCTTGTCAAAACATAAATAAACCAAGTCTCAGTTGCACCATGTGGTTGTTCCTCTGGTAGCTGGGGAATGAATAGTCAGATGGGGAAAATAGCCTATAAATAAGGCTTTAATTTTTAAAAAATTCATTGTTTTATATCAGTAATTGAAAGACATTCTGTTTGTCCAGTAGATTTTCACAAACAGCCCGAGGCTGAATTGAAGGAAAGAAAAGCTCATTGTCTTAGATTTCATCAGTCACTTTATAAACTAGTTTAATAACAGAATTCCCAAAGTGAAGAAAGCAATTTTAGCTTATGTGACCACTGTTATATTTATGGTAAGGTATCTCACTACAGATTATTTTAAGATTCCGAACTGAACATGATTAAAATAATTTGCATTTTATGCTTATTTGTTCAAAACTTTTAATCTTTCACCTATATTGTGAAATTAGAGTGCGGCCTGAGTGCCTCTGGTATTTATTGGCAGTCAGCTAAAAACACCTTCTTTTATTTACCTTGATGGTACATATTTAGATGTTAGAGCCTGAGTATGCTTTTTACTTTACAAATAATAATAATATACGTAGGCTTATGTCCTCCTTTCGTTCATGTAGGAGTAGTGGAAGCCATGTGTCTTTTTGATAAAAAACACACAAACATAACACTTTCTGTCTATTGCTATTTCCCAGTTGAATCTTTGATCTACAACAGTGATTTTCCATCTTTTTTGTTTGTTTGTTTTTTGTCTCCTGGCACACAAACTAATTACTAAAATTCTGCAGCACACCAAAAAAATACGTATTTTTTTGCCGATCTGATAAAAAAATAGATATACTTTTGATTCATGCACACTGGACAGCTATTGTTGTGTTGGCTGTTGTCTTCTTTCTTTCTTTCTTTCTTTCTTTCTTTCTTTCTTTCTTTCTTTCTTTCTTTCTTTCTTTCTTTCTTTTTTTTTTTCAATCTAAAGGAAAAGAGGTCAGTGCCCTAATAGTTGGTTATTGCATGCTTTAGAAATTTTTTCAGCACACTGATTGAGAATAGATGATCTGAAGAAATGGATTAATTTCTGTTTGCTATTTTGAAAGGCCAGATGTTGTCCCTCTAGGGGTTGTCTCCAACCATAAATCAGGGGTTATAAACTCTAATGCCTGGGAAGAGGATTGAATGAGGACTGTGGAGGACTACACAGTGGGTGTCTTTTCTTAAGGTGCTGTTGTGCTCCAGTTAGAAACCGAGCGAACAGGTTACAAACCTGGTACTGCCAGAGCTTCTGATTTCCCAAGAGAAAGTGGAAATTGGGATTTTGATGAATGCATCCACATTTTAAAATATTAGCAACTATCTTAAACATTTAGGAATCCTCTCTGGGCTGTACAAAACACATCTGAGGGTTGGCTTTCAGTTTTTGGCATTAGTAGCTGTTGAGTGGAAAAGTGCAGTCTTCAGACACTGTGTGCTGTTTGACACATATCCTTTTGAGTATCTGAATTCATTTCATATGGCTCTCATAGTAGGGGACATTAGAAACATTTTTAGGGAAGCGTCTATTAAGTAAAAATTCTGATAAGAGATGATTCTTCACTACCTGTCGAGGGGAGATTCTTCTAAGTATTTTCCTCAGTCACTGAAGTGTGGAAGGTAGCCTAGAGCTGGAGGTCTGCAGACATCCCCAAATAAACTTGCCTCTGGTTTCTCCCTCATGCCTGTCCCCTTTCTGAAATGGGCCTGCCTGTAGGATGACTATATAATTTATTGTTTTTTAATTACTTTTAAAAAATATCTTTATTGATTTCAGAGAGGAAGGGAGAGGGAGAGAAAGACAGAAACATCAATGATGAGAGTGAATCATTGATTGGCTGCCTCCTGCGTATCCCATACTAGGGATCAAACTCACAACCTGGCATGTGCCCTTGACTGGAATCGAGCCTGGGACCTTTCAGTCCACAGGCCTGATGCTCTAGCCACTGAGTCAAACTGGCTAGGGCTATAATTTATTGTTTAATCCGGGACAGTTTTCCAGAGGAAAAGAGGCACCATTAATGATTACACAGGCATAACAAGTACAAACCTAGATCGTTGAGGGTAAACTGAGACAAATGATGACCTTAGTTAAATGGAAAAGTTTGTGTTCCTGCTGAGCCAGAGATGAAGAGAGAAACCACTCACTGGTTTCTGTATATAAAATGATGAGGTTTTGTAGAAGATCTGTTGAAACATCTTTTTGGGGGTGGATCTGAATGTGACCTCAGAGATAGAAGCACTGATAGTAGCTGGGTCTGTTTTGGGGAGTTGCCGTAGTGACATGCCCTCTGGCTCTAGACTTTCCTGATGGGCCATAGGTAATACAAGGATGAGTGTCTCTCAGTGGGAATGGCCTAGTACTGAGCTGTTTCTCCCAGGTGCAAAGACAGGTGGGGGTTGGGAGCAAACCAGCCAGTTCCAGATCAAATATATGCCAACACAGTGTGGTTCCCATTTACTCAAGCCTGTGTAGTCTTGCACAAGGGAATTGTCAGTCTAGCATATTTCAGCAAAACTTGGGTATTTGAACTAGTAAAAGTGCTTACCTCTTCTAGCTTTAAAAAATTCCACTGGCATAAATTGAGTTGTAAAACTGGTTGGGGATCCAAGAATTATCTACCCATGATCTAGAATGGGTCACTCAAATTTTTCAAATGTTTATATTTATCTACTTTCAGAAAGAGGCTGTATAGCATTATCTCAATTTCCCTACGACAAAACAGAAATTTTTTAAAAAAATGTATTTTATTGATTTTTTACAGAGGAAGAGAGAGGGATAGAGAATTAGAAACATCGATGAGAGAGAATCATCGATCAGCTGCCTCTTGCACACCCCCTACTAAGGATGTGCCCGCAACCAAGGTACATGCCCTTGACCGGAATCGAACCCGGGACCCTTTAGTCTGCAGGCCGACGCTCTATCCACTGAGCCAAACCAGTGCCGGCCAGAAATTGTTTTATATCATGTGTATTTTACCATACCAGAGGTCCAATGCATGAAATTCATGCAAGGGGCTCAGCCCTCACAGCCCCAGCTTTGTCCAGAGGATGTCAGGAAGGTCATCTGGCTGTCTGGTCTAAATTAGCAAATTACACTTTTATTATTTTCCTATATAATAAAAGGCCAATATGCAAATTGACCAAACGGCAGAATGACCGGTTGCTATGACGTACACTGACCACCACGGGACAGACGCACTGAGCCAGGCTCACAGTTGGTGATCACAGTGCCTATGGCAGGAGCTGTACTTGCCTCTGTGGTAGAACTAAGGATGTCTGTCTGCCCCATGGGAAGTGGGCCTAAGCTGTCAGTCGACATCCCCTGTGGGCTCCTGGACTGCTAGAGCGCACAGGACGGGGGGACTCCCAGTGCACGAATTTTGTGCACTGAGTCTCTAATATATTATAAAAAGCAAGAGTTATTAGTGTTTGTAAACATTGCTAGAGTTAATTATCATTTGCATGAGACTCTTAGCAGGAAAATTAGATATCATAATTATAGCAAGAACAATCATTTAAAAGATAAAAACATAACAATTATAGTTTTTAAATGCTTTTATTGATTTCAGTTATTGGATTTCAGAGATTGGAAGGAAGAGGGAGAGATAGAAACATCAATAATGAGAGAAAATCATCAATTTGCTGCCTCCTGCATGCCCTCTAAGGGGATTGATCTGGCAACTGAGCATGTGCCCTGATTAGTGCCCTGATCTGGATCAACCCCTGACCTCGTGGTTCATGTCAATGCTCAACCACTGAGCCACACCGGCCAGGCTAATTTCTATAATTTTTATTGATTTAAAAAAAATGTACTTTTTAAAGTTGCCTATGACCCATCAGGAAGGTCTGGAGCCACTTCACCTTCCAGTGATTTTTAGAGAGTAGAAGGGAAGGAGAAGGGAAGGAG